TTGGCTTCTATTAACATATAAGATACAGTCATTTATATAAAGGGTTAACTTACTATATAAGCACAAATTACTAATAAAATTTATGTTGGTCTCATGGAGAGATGACATAGGTTAACTCATTTTAACACATTTCAACACACAGTATAAAAATAGAGTTTTGCTGTAGGTCAAAACAGGAATATATTGTGAGTAAAACAGGCACACAAAAAAGGTAATGTATTTTCATTTAAATAAAAGTTAAAACCGGGCAAGATTCAGTCTAAGAATATATACTTAAGATTTAAAATTGTAGAAAAAGAAAGAAAAGCAAGCAGTACTCTAGTCACTGCCCAATCTGCGACCTTCTCTCAGTATACTCAGTAAATGAAGGGGAGGGAGAAATGGAAGAGAAATGGAAGGAAGCTGACAATTTGGAGAGTGGTTACCTCAAAGAGCAAGGGAACTTGAAAGTACACCAGGAAAGGACAAACCAGGGGATCAGGGCAATAACTATCTCATCAAGACAGTGCTGAAGTACATTTTTCACCTCACAACATATATTTGGGGGAAAAAAAGCATAATGCATTTGTTCTGTGGACCTTTATTTGTGCATTAAGAATCACAACTTAAGAGTAATGTCTCTGTTGAAAACTGATGGAAGTCTGACCCTACACATCAAGCTGAAGTAGCCATCTACCCTTAAAACAATGCTGTCTTGCATTACACGGGAAGGTACTAATAAAACTATGACCAGCATAGGTTGAAAATCAAGAAGTGGTTTCACTGAACCAACAAAAATGTTCTAAGGAAGGAGTATAATGGCAGTAACTAAAAAGCATTCACCAGCTTTGGAAACATTGAAGATCATGACAAGGAAAATTACAAGGAGTAAAGAGAACAGATGTCAGATTTCACAGGACCAAAGAAAAAAAAGAGTCAACTGTCAAAAAAAGAAAGTAGTTGAAAATTAAGAGTGATCATTATTTTGTTACTAAGAAAGGAAATATGTGGACATGTTTACACTGTGATACAGTTTGGAGTGGAGAGGAAATCGCAAGCCTTTGAGGAAGTGGTGGAGTGACTACGGTTTAAAAAATTACCTAAGAACTGGCTTCTCACCTTTTGCCTCATATCAAGTTCAGAACAAAAAGTAGTAACTACTGCTTTAGACTGGAAAGAGGAGAGTAAAATAGAGCATGGTACTTACTGAGAAGAAATTATGTTGATTAGGAACAGTAAGACTTTTGAGCAATGCTGTAAGCCTACACACAACTGACAATTATGAGAATATGACTGGCCACAAACTGCTCAAGTGATTTTTCTTTTTCTAGAAAACTCTCAGACTGCCTGAATTTGAATCATTCAAGGCAGAAACAAAGTAAAGGATTTTGACACATAAATGGGAGAAACGAAAAAGAATACCTTGAACTTGGAGCAGAAAACTACAAGAACACAGCTGAAAAAATGAATACTAGAGACTAAATTAGAAAAATAGTGAAAATATGAGGATAGGAGAAGAGATGAAAGCATAATAGTCAATGTGCTAAGAAAGAAGTGAGGAGGAAGACCAGTACAAACAGACCACTAGAGAAGAAAAAACAACCTCACAGCATAATTCTTACACAAGTCAAGGAAGATGAGGAAAGTAGCAGAGCACAAAGCTAAATGTTCCAGGAAGGACAAACTTTATAAAGACTAATTCGGCCATTCAGTGGCCTTGGTTCTCTTGCTACACAGCTGTCAGTGGAAAGAGGGGATAGACAAAGTAACATCAAACCGAAAAGGCTGAGAAGAAGGGCAGCAAGTATTTAAGATTCTAAGCAGATTCCCTGTGAAATAATGACATAAGAACTATGGTTGATAGAACTAACCATTTAAACTGCATGGTTCTGAATTAAAGCATAATCTATATACTCAGGAAGAAACTGGTATTATCTTGAACCAAGACTTATGGTCACCCTGAACAGCAAGAAGAGGTAAAATTTTGAGGTTTTTTTCCTTAAAAGACAAAGATATGCAGATATGACATGTGCAGAAATACATATAAAGGGTAAGCAAACATATTTAAGGTTTAAATTTCTAAATTAAGGGAAAAAATAGAAAAAGACTTAAATGTAGCTAGAGAAACTGGCAAATGAATGCTCTGGAAAAGTTAAAACAGAGCATCCTAAGCAGGAAGGTCCCTGGTGAACTGCAGAATATATTTAATGAGGTCAAGGAAAAATTACCTACAAATAAAAATTACTGCAGATGGATATGCAAGGTTGAAGGAACAAAATAGTTATTTAAATTTTATCATCTCTGGTTTATCTGAAAAGTACACATTTTCAGAAACATATGAGGTGGGTACTCTGAACTAAGGTATAGAACTTAACATCTAAGAGTTTAATAAAAATAGGTTTAAGTGATAGCTTTTAGAAAGTAAAGGTAAAATTAAGACTGAAGGCCCAGCTGAATCAAAGTCTGAGGTCAGCCTGGACTACAAAATGAGACCTGATTTTTATAAGTGACAGGAAGAAAGGAGAGATCTAGACTTCACGATCTGAGGAAATATGGCCAGATGGCCCTGACTGAAACAAACGATGTTAAAAACCAGTGGTTCCCTGGGATTGTTGCTCCTAATCTTTTTTTGCTGTCTACAGATTTTCAAATCTGTAGATACAGAATATTTACTTTAAAAAAAGTAAAAAAATGTCTGATTAGTTATTTAAAACATACTAGACCATCATATAGAATAAATAACACCCCCAAGGAGGATCAATCCATTAATATTAAAGAATATGGCTAAGGATATGAAATTATGGGTCAGAACAGGAAAGTCTTAGGAAAAGCAGATTCAGCTAACTAATCAGGATAAATACTCAACCAATATTTGTTTCTATTTCTCAAGCCCCTACACCTTGTTGAGAAAGCCAATTTCATTAGAAGTTTTGATTTCTCCAGATAAGTTTCAGAAATGGAATACTTTTCCGAGACTGTAACTTACTGATCTCTCCTCCCCTCCCCCCCCACCTCTGTCTCTCTCTGTCTCTTTTGTTTTTTCGAGACAAGGTTTTTCTGTGTAGCCTTGGCTGTCCTGGACTCACTTTGTAGACCAGGCTGGCCATGAACTCACAGAGATCTGCCTGCCTCTGCCTCCCTGAGTGCTGGGATCACAGTCATGTGCCAACACTGGCTAGTATGTTACTTGTTCTTAATTTATCTCTGTAGGTGCTATTTTCTGAGACATAAAGGCCACGACTTTTTAAAGAGAAAGATTCTTGACCCCACTAATGGTCAGATCTCCTCAGTTCTTTAGCAAAGAAGCACTAGTTAGCCCGATCGAGTTTAGAAACTCTACCACACTCACTGGAACATTTTCGCCGTTAGAGTCTATGCTAAGCTAAACAAATTAAATAAAGTACATAACAATCTAATTCCTAGAATACAGACATCAAAACCAATGCCTACAGAATATTACTTTTGGCCAGGAGCTTTTAAAAGAATTATTCTTACAAAGAATAAAGAAAAGAGTGATTATTAAGAGAAAGGTGGGTCAATTCTACAGCTTTCTCAACTGGTAGCAGCCAACCAGCACATAAAAGCTGGTTTTCTGATTCTTACAGACTGATCTTGTATTATTGTCAGGAACTGTATATCAAGTAAGTGTTTAGCAGGGTAAAGTAGCTCACACCTATAATTGCAGCATTTAAAAGACTGAGACAAGTGGATTTCCCAGAGTTTAAGGCCAACCTGGGCTACATAACGAATTCTAGCCATCCTGCAACACCGAATGAGATCTGTCAATAAAAAAACAATTTCACCAACAAGTGAAAAACATACAACTTTAAAATAATGGCATGAGAATACCATTTCATTATTTAGCAATGGAAGCTTTATGTGAAAGTAGTTACTTTTAAATACCTCAAGAATTAAATGAAAATAGTTTCCTACTAAAACCCAGTGGTTATTGTACTAAGGAGAGAGGGGCATTTTGATGTTTTATCCTACAAAGACACTGACTGCAGTTTGGAATAAATATAGAAGTAAAAAACACAACACTAAGGTAAAGCAATGACGAAACTAAGTCTTAAATATTCACTAGGGTCCATTCTTTCCGAAAGGCCTCCTAATATTAGAGGAGGGTTTTTTAAACATTTTACCAAACTAACAGAACATAGTCATTGGGTTATCCTTCTAATCCTTGAATTCATACTAGAGAATCAAAAATGGGGAAAGGACTATTGGACTCAAGTTATTTTTCAAAAAGAAAAATGTTTTGTCAATCAAAAATGTCTATGGAAAATTAATCCATTTACAAAGCATCATGATTTGTCCCAATAAATGTATTTCACCTAGCATTGTCAACATTAACCAAAACAAGTCAGAATTCATCTACAAATAATTTTTAAATGATTAGAATTTTTCAGTCAATAGTCATTTCATCATTGTGTCCCAGAATTAACAACACATTTACCAACTTCAGTTAGATCAACATAACCAAAAATTTTAAATATCTCTACTCTTAGGTATTATAAAAATATTATGCACTAATCAAATGAAACATGCGATCAATTCCACAAAGTTGGGGAGGAGGAAGCACTTCTAGAGCCAGGCAATGGTGGTGCACACCTTTAATCCCAGCACTTGGGAGGCAGTGGCAGGCGGATTCCTGTGAGTTCAAGGCCAACCTGGTCTACAGAGTGAGCTCCAGGACAGCCAAGGTTACACAGAGAGACCTTGTCTCAAAAAAAAAAAACAAAAACAAAAACAAAAAAAAAACAATATAAGAAGTTATTAAAATTCAAATCCTAAATACTTAATCCATTATTTAAGCCCAACTCTATAAAGAATATCAATACTTTTGGTTACCAACTGTAAGTAAAATAGAACTGTCATCAGCATAACCCTAATCCATTTAGTTCATTCATTTCCCACACCATAAACAGCTTTTGTCTATCAGGATGCAACAGAAGAACATATGGATTCCCCCTGCCCCTTTTTTAAAACTTTGACTCTAGTTGTAGCCAGTCTCAATAAGAGAAAGCATAGGATGCTTAAAAAATGTACATGTCATCCTTGTGCAGGACCAGACTAATCTTTTCTCTATGTCTTTCCAATTTAGTCTATGTGCTGCTTAATGAACATGAGAGGATTAAGAATTTGAGGCCAAGGTGGTCAAGGTGGTGCATGCCTGTAATCCCAGCACTCAGGGAGGCAGAGGCAGGTGGATCTCTGTGAGTTAGAGGCCAGCCTGCTTCACAAAGCAAGTCCAGAGAAACCCTGTCTCGAAAACAAAACAAAACAAAACAAAAAAAAAAAGAATTTGAGGCCAGCCTGAGCTACATGCTCAGCTCCAGGCTCACCAGGACTACATAGTATAGGCCCTGTCATCTCCAACAAAAAAATAAAAAATAAATTCTTCAAATAATAAAAATTACCACAACTTCTCTAGGAATAAATGGTCTAATAACCTATCACTTAAATTTTATTCTTCATGCATTTTAAAGAAAATGTATCACCAAGTTTATAACTATAGGGTGATTTTTTTTTTGTTAACATTTTAAAACAGCATCTTGAATTAAGCTGTACACTACTGACATCTCTCTTAAGCAGTTCCACTTTGCAAAATCCCCCAAAACTACAATAATGTACAACTTCGAAGGCAGGTTAGTAATAGCAATGACTCGTACTCATCTAAAACCACAAGATTTTGGGTGACATGACAAGAATGAATTTAACTCAAAGGCCTGTGTGCTACAAAGCAAGAAGGTGTAATCCGAACAACAAAACCATGGGACAGTAGGAGTCTTTAAGGAGTTTCATGCCAATGACAAAACCTATTTTTTGCAAAAGGTTTCATCTATCCATTTCTACAGTTTTCCAAGTAACATATTACTTTTTGTTTCACTTAATAGTGGGATTTCACAGAAGTAACTTCTTCTTTTATCTCTTCTAGGACAAAGTGTATGACAAAGAAAAAAATCAATGTAAACATTCTTATTCTTGTAAATTAAGCCTTACCTGGTAGCTTGTGCAGACCAAGAATGCCTATGATGTCTAGTGTTTTCTGCTAATTTTTGTGCAAGGGTGGAGGAGGTGGTTCTTCACTTCATGAAATCAGAAAAACAAAAAGCAGGCAAAAGCTAAGTTTAAAAAAGGAGAGAACAGAGGGGAAAGAAGATGAGGGAAAGAAAAAAAAAGAGGAAGAGGAGAGGAAGGAGAGAGGCAAAGGGAAGAAGAAGAAGGAGGAGGAGGAAGAGGAGGAGGAGAGAAGTAGAAGAGGAGGAGGGGGGCGGCTGGAGAGATGGCTCAGCAGTTAAGAGCACGGATTGCTCTTCTAAAAGACTAGGGTTCAATTCCCAGCACTCTTATGGCAGCTTAGAACTGTCTCTAACTCCAAGATCTGACACCCTCACATATATAATGCACATAAAATAAAAATAAATAAGTTATTTAAAAAATAAAGAAGGAGGAGAGAAGAGGAAAAAGGTAAAGGATATAGGAAGAAAAGGAAGGAAGGGGAAGGAAAAAAAAGAAACAGAAAAGAGAAGGGGGAGGGAAGAAGAGGTAGAAAATACCCACAAAGATATGCCTCTCTTGCCTGCATCCTCTATCTAGGCCCCACCTCCTTAATTTTTAATACCTCCCAAAATAGAGCCCCATCGCCTGGGGATCACACTCACAATCCTGGGCTTTCTAGGGGTCCATTATGTATAGTACTTTCACTCAGTAAGAGCTTCCCTGAGCACAGGACTCAGACAACCATAGCTACAACACAGCTCTTCAATAACTATAAGTAAAATTCACATTTACTTCATAAACAAGAAAATGGAAAAAATTCTTTTCAATTTCTCTTAGAAGCTACCAACACTGCTGACCAGTAAATGGAAAATAAGCCCTATTAATCACAGCACCAGGACAACAAGTCTAGCAGAAAATACTGACTTTATAGAGATGTAGCTCAATAGTACAGACACTTACTATTTATGATACCTTAGCTCAATCTGACTGCTCTTCCAGAAGGATGTACAGAGAGCAGAAGAAAAAGGAAGCAAGCAAGCAAGCAAACAACAAACCAGCCTTTGGAATTATAAACTTCAATAAAATCACCACATTAAATTACCTGGTTTGTTCACAAAAGAGACATTTTTAGCTTGTTTTACCAACATGGTTTTTCAATAAGGTTATGTTTTAACATTTATCAGCATGTTCTTCAACACTACCAACGGGTATCTCTGTGTACTAATGACTAGTATAGTAACACAAATGCCTAATACAACAGGCTGCCAACAAACTAAGTAAGAGACAATACACTGAAACTAAAATTATTACCCACACCTAACATGGCAGAATCATAAGAATGGGCTCCGGATCAGCAGAATTTGGGTTTAAATCTTCTCTGCCACATACTAACTGCGATATTAGATGAAGCTACCTAGAAAATTATTTATGCTCATTAGTATTAAAAATTACCATACTCATTAGATCCACAGGAAGTCTGTTAATTTAATCAGAATGCAGTACTGCTAGTTTATCACAATTGTAATATTTCAATATCATGCATTTTCAACACAATGTTTCTTCACTTAGAACCCCTGCTCAGATGTAATCCATAGCAGCTTATTCTCCAAGTGGTACCCTAGTAAGGAGAGCATGAACTCAGTGGCTGGCTCTTTGCTCACTCTCCCTGGTGGGGTGCAGTCTTGCCAGGCTACACAGGAAGACAATGCAGCCAATTCTGATGAGACCTGATAGGCTAGGGTCAGATGGAAGGGGAGGAGGACCTCTCCTATCAGTGGACTAGGGGAGGGGCATAGGGGAGAAGAGGGATGGAGGGTGGGGCTGGGAGGAGATGAGGGAGGAGGCTACAAGTGGGATACAAAGTGAATAAATTGTAATAAATAATAAATAAATTAAAAAAATAATTCATAAACAGGGGTTGGAGAGATGATTCAAGAACTAAAAGCACTGGCTGCTCTTTCAGAAGACCCAGGTTCGACTGCTAGCACCTACATGGTGGTTTACAGCCATATGCTACTCCAGTTTTAAAGGATCTGGATACTTTCCTCTGGCTTCAATGGCACCAGACATGAGTTGTCCAGACATACATACATGTAAGCAAAACACCCCCACATACTAATAATATTTTTAATTAAAAAAATTTTAAATGTTTTTATCTGAGAAATAGTATGAATTACCAGAATGCCAAAAAAGTATTTTATGGGGAAACTAATTAAGACTGTCATTCTATGATATGATTCCACAGAGAAAATGTGTCTAGCCAAGAGAAAAGCTAGGGACACAAGATATTAAAGGAAAACTAATAATTTGGGATGGTCATTTAAAAAGCCTAATTTTTTTAATTGACCAATTAGTTTTGTGGTACTGGGAATTAATCTCAAAGATCCTTAAACATAGGCAAATGCCCTACCACTAATCCAAATGCCCATACCACTAATCCCTTGGCCTAACACTTAATAGTAGTTTGGAAATTCAAGCTAGTAAAAAGAAAAATAAACTCAAAAGATTTTCTATCTATATCTTTTTCCCTTCCTCCCCTACTTCTGACTTCTTTCCCCCATCCTTTCTTAGTACCACTGGCATTTAAATCTATGTTAAAACCTCTTCTGAATAAACACGAAACTTGCTTTAAACAAAGATTTACTGCTGTCTTCACAGGCAATTAAAATAGATTTTAGCTTGCTTTATAAACATGTTTTTTGGGGCTGGAGAGATGGCTCAGAAGTTGAGAGCACTAGCTGTTCTTCCAAAGGTCCTGAGTTTAATTCCCAGCAACCAACATGGTGGCTTATAACCATCTATAAAAAGATCAGGTGCCCTCTTCTAGAGTGCATCTGTACATGCAGGCAGAATACTATATAAATAATAAGTAAAAAAAATCTTTAAAAAAATAATAAACATGTTTTTTTCAGTCGGGTTATGTAATACATTTTTTAAAAAAAACAGTATTCTCAGCTGCTCTGGTGCACAGGCCTTTAATCCTTGACTGGGAAGCAGAGGCAGAATAATCTCTGGTCAGCCAAGGCTACATGGAGAGACACTGTCTAAACAGACAAAAAGTCTTCTCCTTTTTCAGGTGTGCCAGTTCTGTTTTTCTCCCAGATTAGCTTTTTTCCTTCCAAGTCTCTCATTTTCCTTCTCTATATCACTGTTTTGTATTAAATTCTTCAATTTCAAATGCATATTAATAAGCTGTAAAGTATAATAACTGTAAGTCTCTTCTTAAAATATAACATTGGAATGTATTCGGTTTTAAGAAATCATTTTAAAGAATTGCATTTTTCCCTCTTTCTGTAATGCAGTTGTGGTCCTAATTATTGTAATTACTGTGCTGGGATGATGCTTTTTTCCTATTCATGCTGTAACTGTCTGCATTAGGTAAAAACTGTAAAATACTTAAAATCATTTTAGTGTAAAAGCAAGCAAAACCCTTTTGTAGTCCTCAGTTTTAGATATAAATCCACCACTCCTTTGCATTATAAAAACTAGGGTCTTTCATTTTTCAAACAGCATAAAGACAATAGATCAGATGTGGTGTGTTTCTCCTTGCAAGTCTTAGGGGTAAGACTTTTGAAGAGCACACTAACTTGAAAACCATATATCTTAAAGTTTTTTATTTGATTCATTTTGTATCTTTCTATTATTTTTTGTTAAGATATATATATATATATTTTTTAAACTAACGTGACTTTTTGTTACTACAAAAGAATACTCGGTACACACCCACAAAGGTCACTTCCTCCCTGTACAAAATTCAGTGCCACAATACTTAGTTCTGCATGAAGGAAAAAGGCAAAGTTAAACAGCTACTGAACAAGAAAAGAATAAGTACACAACTGAAATTATCAATATGATTTTAAGCACTTGCAAATTTCTTGGAGCCCTAGAATATTTAACATACATCAGAAATATTTTCAAGGAACAGTCATTGGGTTCGAGCATTCCCCTATGAGAAGCACTTTTCTTGAGGAAAGAGTCTGGCAAGTTTATAAAGCCAAATATGTGTTAACAATAAACATTTCCTCATGCTCTGTTTCAGTAACCTCTGAGGATCACAAACTATCTTCAACTAAGTTGTACTTTATAATATCACATATATTATCAAAATCACAACAGCAAGGAC